AAAAATATTGTATGGAGTTATAGCTCTTAAAATCCCTTGAGTATATCACTGGCATCTGAGTATTTGCATTCATTTGTTTAATTGATTTCAAGCACATTTGTATCCTTGGCATAATTTTGGTTGATGATTAAGACCAGAATGTAGTTTTCACCCATGACTGAAAATGGACATCAATCTCCATCATTTAAACATTTTCACATTTATATTATTTTTTATATCAGCCAAATTTCCTATAGTATAAAAACTTAATGTCAACAAAATCTTTGATGAGTTTGATAATCAGGATATTTGGGCCATGTGTTATTAAATTCTCTGCAATTCTTTTGTGTTTTTATGGTTTCATCCATCTCACTGTTTATGCCAAAGTATGAATAACCATATAAAGCTGCATTTTGTTAGGGGGACTGCTGCAGTCATGATTTTTTAACATTAATCTACCCAGATAATTATATATCCCAGTCATGGTTTTGTAACATTAATCTACCTATATAATTATATATCCCAGTCATGATTTTTTGACATTAATCTACCCATAAAATTATATATCCCAGTCTTGATTTTTTAACATTAATCTACCCAGATAATTATATATCCCAGTCATGATTTTTTAACATTAATCTACCCAGATAATTATATATCCCAGTCATGATTTTTTAACGTTAATCTACCCAGATAATTATATAGCCCAGTCATGATTTTGTAACATTAATCTACCTATATAATTATATATCCCAGATCATATTCTAGATCTAGACAGGTATATGAAAAAGTTACAAATTGACATTTAACCTACATAGATATTGAAAACTACAACAAAAGGTTGTATAGTACATCTTTCCAGTGAGATTTACATAATGATGAATTTACAAAAAGCTTTGCTCAAGGAAAAAGATCAGTAATAAATCTGTACAAGTTCATTTGACATGTCATATGGAGATTATGTTAAGGAAATGATTCCAGTATTATCCACTATTGTTCAGTTTGTATTTTGTAAAACCATGTATTTGGATAATTAATAAGCACAATTTTATGTTTCCTACTGTCATGAATACTCATTGATGACATACATTAAGTTATGATACACATGAACTGTTTATGTCGCATATTAGTCATGTCATACAATTTGTAAATTAGTTAAAATGGTGAGGTATCTACTTTGAAGATTTTGTTGCAATGATATTCTTCAGGATCAACACTATGAAGAGATCTTTTGAGACAAATTTTTGCCTTGACCAATGATTTAGTCTCCTTTGGAATATTTTCTGATATTGTTGACCCTGACCAGTAACATCACAGTAAAATATCAAGTAGATCAAAATCACACTAATACAATTTGTGGTTTTAAAATATTATGTGTTGATTCAGTATTGTTTTAATATTGTTTCCTAAAGGAGGACTCCAATTTAGCTTTCAGCAAGGTCACTCATTGAAGCAACTTTCTCTAAACAGGGAACCAAAGAAAGGTCCTACCTTAAAACATTTGCAATTGTTTCATCCATGATAAATTAAATTCATAATTCATGTGATTCATGTTTTGTTTACCATTGTATGTTTTAGTTGTAATAAACTTTGATCACTCTCTGCCTTCAAACTGTTTTATCTTCCTCAAATATTGATGGAGTTTCACAGAGCTCTAAATGATATTTTAGTTAATTAGGTATTTTTATTCCTTGGTTTAGAACAAGTTAGGTTTTTTTAAAGATTCAGTGGATAATTTAAAACCATTCAAAACATTGTAATTCAAAGCAGGATCTTAATTATTGAAGACCTTTTTTATGCCTTTTAGAATGCATCAAGCAGCTTAGTGACTAAGACTAACTTGGGTACACTTTCTTTTACATCTGTAGTTGATAAATATTGTCATTGTCAAGTTGTCATTTCTCATGTGCATCAAATGCATGCTACTGGATAAAACTATGGAGATTTGTGAAATTAATGGAGACACTGGCAGTTCTGGGTGGGAGAATATCCCCTGGGCTTGTTCAGGTTGCAGTCTTGTAACTTGCTCCGTTTGCATAGTTCACATTGTTACAATCCACCTTGGCTAAAACAATTGTGCACAAATGTAGAACACTCACTAAGGAAGAAACCACAAGACTAATTGGGATTAAATGCTTATTAATAAAATGTTTTGTGTACTTTGAGTGCATAAAAAACATTTTCATGTTTCTTTCGTTGACTTATTGCACACTTAAGGGGACAGTTTTTATGTATAAATTTAATGCCGCAATCAGTGACCTAGTACAAAAAAAATCATAAAAATCTAATACACAAGTGAGGTCAAAAATGTCCATATTTTGAGATACCTATATTAAAACAAAGCATAAAAATATTATCCACTTGACCAGAGAAATCAATGGCAGTTCATAGCAGAAAAAGATATGCACCCCAATCCCAAATTTAAACCTGCAATTTTCATGTCCAAAGTTCATTTTTGACACCATGTGGTTCTCACAGTGCAAACACAATCCCTTTTCCTAGATGACAATTCTGCAAAACAGTGTGTACTAAACAGGTTGATGCAATTTAAAATAGTTGTCATCCAAACCATTTTTGAGATATTCTCCTTGCCCCAAACCCACATGTTTACTGCTATGAGAGGCTAGCTCTTCTTCCTAGCCAACTATTGGTATTTCACTATCAACATATTGCAGAGTAACTATGGAAGTTGGTGTACATGACAGACATCAATTTCAAGAACAACACAAGCCCGAAACACCTAGTTCACAAATATATCCATATCTTTAATTAGTAGACAATAATTGCTAAAAAGGTCACATCATAGCCTTAAGTTAAGAAATTTGCCAGGCACCAAATTACGAAACTGTACCCTGCCACCTAAGCTAGTGTGCAGCTTGTGTTGAGGTCTGTAACAAAACAAAATGGAATTATTCCTCTAACCACCTTGGCAAATATGTTTTCTTTGCTGACCAGCCACTTGAACCTAATGGTTAAGTCAACATTCACAAGTTTTCCATCATATATTTTCTTATATTCTTGTGTTTCTTTCGACTTTAGGTGCTTGTTTTTAGATCCTGATGTCATCAGTTGTGTGACTATCTTTCAGTGATATTAACAGTAAATGCTGATTAGGAAATATTTGATGAAATAAGATTTAAGTCATTTAAGTCTGTACTACAATTTAGAAGTCTGTACTATAATTTAGAAGTCTGTACTACAATTTAGAAGTCTACTATAATTTAGAGCAAAGAAAACATAAGGAAAGTATCCAATTTAACTAATGCCATATTTGCTATGTGGCCATGGAAAGTGTTGACTGTTCAAGACCAGAGCACAGTTCATATGTTTTTCTTTACACTTTATTTAGCTTGAAACCCATGATGAAGATTTTTGAGATTGTAAAGGCAAAGCAAAATCAGTTACTATAACATGAACTTCTTATATCATGTAAGAAAAAGTAAATCCAGTGGAATACTATACCATAATGAATTTTTCATTAAAATATTTTAATACAAGGGAAAAACTCTGTTATAAATTAGCATAAAAATAAATGAAATAGCTGTTATTATAGGAGCATAAACCAATAATGAACTTCCACAAGGTCAACTTGCACAGCCACGTGATGTCATAAGTACCAAGGTTAATTTGCACAGCAGCATAATGTTTTAAGTACCAAGGTTAACTCACACAGCCAGAAAACTAAAGATTATTACCATATCTTTCACTCTGGTGCTATCTGATATAAGTTATGAGCAATTATTGTGTTTATCTGATAATAAATATAAACGATTACAAGTCCAGTTTATACTTACAGTAATTTTAACCTGTAGAAAATATATACTAATGTTTTGTTCTTGTCTGATATATAGTCAAGCATGCCATTTTAGCCACTGTTAGACCTACACAAATTACTCCTTTCCTTTCAAATATAGTGGCTTGCTTTCTGATGAACATGACTTGTTGTTCCTTCTCATTATATAGCAGAGTTGCTGCCCTTGGGTTGTTGGACTTATTCACTTTCATTTCTGTACATTGTTCTTAACATTGGATTTCAACCAGATTTATATGCAGCTCAGTATTAATAAGACCTGGGATCAATGTCTTCATTTTGCATCATCAATTAGCATTGTGTTATAGACCCTTATTGTTAGACCCACTTTCGTTTGTACTCCCTAATTATTGAATTTCAATACATGAAGAAAAAAGTGAGCATTTGAAATCATATTTTTAGATCTAGTTTTGAGCAAGTATAGTATTGTCTTGTATCTCAGTTATGTGTGATTGTCCAAATTCAAGGACACTGACTGTTAGAAGAAAATTGGTTTCCACACAATAATATTGATTCTTCATCATAGAAGTAGACCGTACTTGTTTAGTCCTTGAGGTTAGAAAAAAAATTTCATGATTTTATTAGCCAAAATATCAGCATTTATGGACTCTAATTCAGAGATGAAATATGGTATCTATGCTTCGACTATAATTTTACCTCTCAGGCCTATACTAAATTTATGGGGATTGCTTGTACTTGAAGTAAGGTAGACACCTATTGATTCTATAGTCAAAAAGTCAAAGGTCAGTGTCACTGTCTGTAAAAGAACAAGACTCAGTCAGAGGGACATTGTATTTTCTTAAAAAGAATTTACAGTAAATCAAGATAAGACCATTCTTTTTTTGATTGCTGGTTGTATCAATTCAGGATGAGTGGCAATGATTTTTAAGCTGTGTTGGCCATATTGGTTGTCTGAGCAGTACCATTCTCATCTAAGATGAATGTGTATTAAGTTTCAAGTCAATCCTCCAAGCTATTTAGGATGTGATTATGAGTTTTAATGTAGCTTTAACAATTTTTCAGTCTTGCCCCTTTGATGTCTGCAGTGTGGCAGTTTATAGTAATATTTAGCACTAAGGCATCATGCCACAGGCATGTAGCATGATGCCCCACCCAGTTACATTTTCCTGACACCAGGCCGAACACTAACCTCTTAATGCTGAGCGCCAAGCGAGGCAACTGTTAGTACTATTCTTATAAGTCTTTCGTATGACTCGACTGGAGATCAAACTCATGACCTCCCTCATCCAAAGCGGACGCTCTAACCACTAGGCCACCGGAGCGGCTAGCTATTTAGGAGTAGCAATAGCAAGCTTGTGCCAACAGACTGATGGACCATGCCAAAAGCTTTTTGATCAGTGATTAGTAAAGCTGAAAATTATTTCTGGACACAAATTTTATTTCTTGTGCATGTACTTTCATCGAAGTTTGTGGATGGCTTATACTTTGGGTATAAAAGTAACCTGTTGATTTTGGAGTCAAAGGGTCAGAGGTAAAATTCACTTTGACGGAAGGAAGAAAATTTTTTTTATAAATAGGGTCTGCATATAATGTAATGCTCATGGTGCTCCTTAAATACTATAAAGACAAGCTTGTATTGGATTTTCATCAAACTTGGGGAAAAAAACATTAACGTCATGTTAGATCACAGTATTTATGAGCAAGATTAATGAAGTGAGTATGTTAGCACTCCATCAACTGTTTCTGATTAGATTGTCATTTTTAGTCTTATATTATCAAAATGTGGAGTTTGATTTTAGGCAAAGTCAGTGAATATTTATTTTATTGCTTGTATCTGAAACTTATTACCATTCCAAAACTGATGGGAGTTTGCTTCAAACTGACCAATTAGCTTACATGATCTTTGACAGGTTCACTATTAATCCACATTAATGAAGCATCTGATAGACATGGATTTTTACTTTCTTAGTGACCATATTTTTCAGCCAGTAATTGATAAAACTTGGTAAAGAGTTAAGCTAATTTGAAATGTTATTTGCATAGCTCAAAAACCATTAGACTTAATCTGAGTGAATAACACTTAAATGTTCATTTTATGGGTTTGGTCTCTACAACATTTTGGAGAGTTCTGGCATTATAATAAATTTTACATGAGATGCTTGTAGTCAGCATAGCATTTTAAACAAATATCCATCATATGTATGATGTAATTTTACATCAACATTGTTTTTTGTTCCAAAATGTACCTTATACTGGACAGTTATTGTCCTTGTCTATCAGTTTCACATCTTGACATGGAATATTGTTTGCCTTGATGAGACCTTGACATTGATGGTGGTGCTCACCAGTTATTATGTACTTTTGAGAGAGTGATATATGCAAGTTGAAGTTTTTTGCATTTAAAACATGCACGGTGGAGAGAATGTTGGCACACCTCTATGCTACTTTATTGTAAAGTGGCTGACATTTCTATGGATATTGTACTTTTAGAAATTGTAAATGATTTTAGCACAATGCTAATTAAAATGACTGCTCCCTTGTGCTCCAAAAATCAACCTGAATTTGTCTAAAGTACACTATCCTTGGCAGCTATTATAATAGGGAAAATGAATTTTGCCAGACTAGACAATATCATCTTCTGAAAGTGCAATGAATGAATTACCAAATACACCACTCCCTCGATAACTCGCGCCCGGATAACTCGCGAACCCGCTTATAACGCGGTGTCCAGCATGGCTCCCGATTTTTTTTCCAAGGAAAATATATTTTAAATTGCGTTAAACATGAAAAAGTCGTGATAAGAAATTGTAAATTGGCAAATTTAACCTTGATACATAGTTCGTTTTTATCATCGAAAATGGTGATTACCGTATTTTCCGGGGTATAAGTCGCTACTTTTTTTCGTTGTTTTTTATCTTAAAAATGACGTGTGCGACTTATATGCAGGAGCGACTTATACGATAAATAATTTTTTAACGACTGTGACTGATGCGCAGTGATGATGTGCTTTAAATATGCATCTGCCGGTATACGGGCAAGCCAATTGCTGGAAACTTACATACGGTACACGTAAGTATTAGACTACGATTATCAAATTAAATAGTCAAATAATATTTAGTTATGTGTTAAAATTTGTTGTTATTAATAAATAAAAACAATATTGAAATAACGATTGCCATTGTATTTCCTTTTTTATTCGGCATGTACCTCTTAGATTCTTTCTGTCTCTAAATTCAGTCGTAAATTTCAGCACATTTTCCCACCCAAGCTGCTAGTCAAAGTCCTTTGAACTTGCCGCCCAGCTATTGCGTCATGTTCTTTTGAGGTACTCAAATAAATACCGAAGGCAGAACTGGGATTATTTTGTTATTTTAAACAACGAATTATGTCCCTGTAAAGCGTTTCCGAGACCTCTGTTAGCGCTTCATAATTTACTTTAATAGTAGTTTATAAAAACACGCAATCATTTTTTCGGTTGGTTTCGCAATGGCTGGTTATTAAAAACAAACATAGCAGAAATATTTCCTCTGATGATTGCTCTATTTTTAAACTCTGGATTAAGCCAAGACTGGCTTCATGGAGAGAGCTTCAAAGTACCGGTAATTAAAAAAAAAAATAACTGGAAGGTTGGTGAACAGTTTCAATTGTTAGGTGAATTCGCCAGGTCTTCGTTAATGTATTAAAATCACTGTAGCGTATAAAGTGCCTTTGAAGTTCACTTGGGTTGTGGAAATGACCGATATATAAATACATACCATTCATACAATGGAGCATTAATAAAATATAGTTTCACCATAACGTTGTATGATTTAAAATTGTTATATTAGCGTAAGTCAATAAGTTTTGTTTTAAATTAACTAGAAAAAATATGATGCAGAATTTAAGTTAAACGTCGTAGCATTTGCGAAAGAAAACCGAAATCGTGCAGCAGAAAGAAAATTCAACGTAAGCGAGAAGATTGTACGTGACTGGCGTAAAAAAGAAGACAAGTTAAGGTCAACAACAAAAAACCCCAAGGGAAATCGTAGTGGCAAAGCAAGTTGGCCAGTTTTCGAGGAAAATCTACGAAAATGGATTGTGGAACAGCGTGCTGCAGGCCATGGACTTTCAACAATTCAAATACGACGCAAGGCAAAGTCAAAGTCTATTGCAATACTGACTTTTATATATCTCTTAAACAATTATATAATATTTCTTACACGAAGTTGGAAATTACCAAGTCGCATGCATTGGCCGGCGGTATCAAAGACGTGATTATGGTAAGTGCGGAGGATTGACTTATACGTAGGAGCGACTTATAGGGCGGAAACTACGGTATTGCTTGTAAAGATAGAATCCATATTGTGAAATTTACATTTTTTCAAAATGTGAAGTGATATTTCTCAAACGTGTCACAAACCGCAAGTGTTATAGTGTTCTAATTTATGTCGTTTTAAATTTTAGACCCATTAAATTCATGTTGGTAATGGTTAATTCTTGCGAATATTTTTTCTTCCATTTTACTTCTACCGCAATAAAAATCTACACATCGTTCGATCGACATTGTTTTTTCAAAGTGTGTTGATCTTTTGTATTTGAGAAAAAAACCCGCCTACTTTGGATCAAACAATAAAATTAGAATATATACCATTCACCACAAAAATAAGTGACGTAATACACAACGTGTAAAGTACATGTGCTAAGCAAACGGAAATCAGGAAGAAGGATGTTTAGATGATTTCCTCTAGTTATCCGGAAATTAATGTTACTCTGTGAGAAAAACCTAAACAAAGTACACAGATATGAAAGATATTTATCCATTGTTAATCTTAGCGAGCGCGATTTTTAATTGAGTGTTCAACGTGCCAAGCCTATGCGTCGATCCCAATGTTATATTTGTTGTTTGTTATAGATCCCTCGATAACTCGCGCCCTCGCTTATATCGCGGTCGATGTTTTTGGACCCCAATGTCCGCGAGTTATCGAGGGAGTGGTGTATATAAAATGTAAAAATGTTATCTCCTCTTTTTTTTTACAATTTATCTCTGAAGTTTGGGAAGTGAAAATGAGCAAGTGGAGCTAGGACTTTTTTTAATGATGCACATCTTGGGTAAGGCCAAGCTGTATACTCTATAACCCATATTACAACCATCAATCATACACCAAAATAATGGGAATTAAAGGTTCATTGAACAATACACCAAGATATACAAACTCTTTTAAATAGCCAGTATAACTAGTGAGGAAACCCTGGGAATTCTTTTTCTTTAAAATTCTAACCATATACTAAATATGAAACTGTAGAGCACCAACTATTGTCCTTGTCAGTTTCATATTGCATTGAATATTGTTTGCCTTGATGAGACCTTGACAGAGTTATTGCCCTTGTCAGTTTCATATCATGACATTGGATAGTATTTGCATTGATAAGACTTTTGCAGTTCTTGTCAATCAGTTTCATATCTTTACATGGATATCATTTGCATTGATGAGAGCTTAATGGAGCTATGGTCCTTATCAGTTTTATATCTGTACCTTTAGATGAAATATTGTTTGCACTGATGATACTTTAACAGTTATTGTCCTTCTTAATCAGTTTCATATCTTTACATTGAATATTGTTTGCAATCAGTTTCATATTTTTCTGTGGGATATTGTTTGCCTTGATGACACCTTGACAGTTATTGTCCTTGTTGATCATTTTCATTTCTTTACATGGAACACTGTTTGCCTTGATAAGACCTTGACAGAGTTATGCCCTTGCAAATCAGTTTCATATCTTCCAACGGATATTGTTTGCATTGATATTGTCCTTGTCAATTAGTTTAGTGTTTTTCCATGGGATATTGTTTGCAGTGTCATATCTTTCCATGGAATATTGTTTGCACTGATGAGACTTTGACAGTTGTTGTCCTTGTCAGTCAGTTTCATATCTTTACATGGCTTTGCATTGACAAAACCTTGACTGACTTGAGCATGCCACATCATTAGAGGTGATATGGCTCCATCTTTACCAAAAATTGATTTTCCCAGACAAGCTTCTGTCATTGAAGTCCTGCAGACTCAGTTTTTCATGAGCAGTACCTCCTTTGGGATATACCCATCGCTATAGTAACAAATGTAATCAGAATTTATCAATAGTAATATGCTATCTGATGAAAGGAACATTTTTACATTTTTCAGTTTGCCATCGTAATAAACCTGCAAAGTACATAATTTGACAGGAAACTATTTTGAAAGTCAGAACAAAGAACTTGAAGAGCATTGTAAATGTGTAAACTGATTTAATAATGGTTTGCAATGCAACCAGTTACATTGACCCAATGAAAAGCACTCTAAATGTG